TGGATGGCTGTGTGAGCTGGGCTTGGTGTGGCCATGGTTCCATTCCTGGGAGCTCAGTTCCCATGGCTGTGTGAGCTGGGCTTGGTGTGGCCATGGTTCCATTCCACCTGGGAGCTCAGTTTCCATGGATGGCTCTGTGCCCCTTCTGGGGCAGCCCCAGTCCCAGCCCTGTCCCAGCACCGGCTCCTGGCGCTGCCTTGGCATTCCACATCCCAAACTCTACTCCAAGGACCAGGCATGACTTTCCAAGCACAGTTCCTGACATTTGTATCTGGTCCCCCTTTTAAATTGTTTTAAAAAAATTTTGTATATGGAGGATAAAGTGCTTATATATTTATTAAAAATCCTTTATCTTATTTGAAATTATTATTTGGTGAAGAAGGGGTTTTTCTTTTGGGGGAGGGCTGGGGAGGGGAGGTAACTTTTAACCTGTCACTTATAAATGAAGCCCTGATTAATCCTACAGAAAGGTACTATTAGTAACTAATGGGATGTCTCTGTTTTATGCTTTGTACATGACAAGTCCATGTGTTACATTTTGTTTTCTATCAACAGATTTGGGCATCTGTCTTCAACCAAAACCAGAAAAAATAGAAACAAACTGTGATTTTATTTGTTGCAATACATTTGAAATTTCAAAGGGTACTTTGGGGCTCAAAATTAGGATTTCTAAGTCAGTATGTGCATTTCACGTAATAAAGCTGTTAATGGTGAGCAAAGTATTATATACTAACTAGATTTTTTCCACATCTGTATAGTATATTCTATGTATTTTGTGGTATTGAGATTATAGAAAGTTTAGTGTCTGAAACATGCGTTTAATGTGTATTTTTAAACAAATTTATGGCAATTAAAATATTTGGAGAAAAGGGTATCACATTTCAATTTGTAAAGATCTTTTTAACTACTGTGTCATTAAAATGCTTTGTACAATGCAAAACTGTAACTGGAGAAACTAAGTTTAATAAATATCAAATAGATTTTCTGTATTAAACTTCCAACCCCCTGTGCTTGTATCTGTTTTGTGGGGCCTTCTCCTCCCTGGAAGTGCATTTTTAAGCAGTATTTTCTTTCATTAATCCTATTGCTCTGTGAAACAACAGAAAAGTAGCATCCAGTGTGTGTGTCCAGACTTGCTGATATTGTTTTTTGTCTTTCAGCCTCCAAGTCGACATCCAACACATCAAAACAGCGTTTTAATCAATTCATTTTAAGACAGGAGAGAAGGTCAGTGGCAAAAGTCAGTCTAGGACATGTATTTAAGTAAATTTGATTAGAACTAATTAAAAGTAAATAGTTCCCATTCCACTTACTGCTGGATATATTTCGGATATTGGAATTGCTATCAGTATTATCAGTTTGGCTCCCTCTTTCCAACAGGGCTTTATCAGAGGGCTGATAAGAGCCAGATTGGGAGGGGATGGGGTCTGATCTACTTTAGCTCTTGCCAGGGGGAAGGATAAATATCCAAAGTCTGACTGGAACTGAGCCCCAGCTCTGTGCTCACCATCCGCTTTGCTCAAGATACAAGGAAAACCAAACTGCTTTGCTGAATATATATTTTAATTCACACCTTCAAATAAATAATAGGAAGCATTACAAAAAAACCAAACGAGCAGGAGATGCAGAGTCCTTTTATTGAGCTTGGCCAGAGGCCTCCAGAGGCGTGGCTGGGGAGGAGATGCTCTCGAGCTCCTGAAAGTCCTTTCATCAGCACATGTGACAGAAATATCAAATACTCTGCTTGCTTGAGGCTCTTGCAGCTCCTGAGCAGTCAATAAATACATCCCAAGTGCATGGAGCATGGTCAGCAGTAACAGTGCAGGCTGTGCTTGGTGCCAGCTCACGCCGAGGCCGTGGAGAGGAGGCAGCGGTTTTTCCTGGGGGAAAAAAATCGGTGTGAGGCACTGAGGGCTGGGGCTGCCCTGCCAGGGGTGCCAGGGGTGCCAGGTACATCTGTGTGCCCCTGTGCCCGCAGTGCTGCGTTCAGGCACTCTGTGTTCCCCTCAATTATTCAGTCTTAGTTCATTTTTTGGTCTTTGCTTTCCATCAGAATTACAAACATAGCATAGCAGCCCACCCTGTCCTATTTACTTACTTATCATGATAATTTATAATATAAAATAAGCTTATTTATAATAATATTAATTAATAATATGATATACAAATAGTATATTATCTCTATATTATACTATGTTATATATACTATACTATATATAGTATATAATCATTAATAATAGGACTGTTACTGTTACTGCTGTTTACATATAGTAGAAAATTATTTGTGCAACAGGTGCCATAGAAAATCACCTTTCAGTAAGTAATTAAGTAATAATTTTAACTAATCAATTTACATGTAGTTGGACAATTTGCTCATGCCTAATGAGAACTAAATAGCTTTTGATATTGTAGTTGCATTTTAAACTATGAGCTTAAATATAATCACCATAAAGTGATTAATTTAGAATATCAATACGAGCTTTTCACTTTTCATTAGTACATGCTTTAGAAGGAAGGATTAATGGGAATGTCTATAAATTGCCCAAAAGCTGTCTGGAGCCCTTTGTTCTCTTTGCCCAGCCGGGTTATTTGGGGTTGCAGTGAAAGGGCTGGGGCTGGCACTCGGGGACCTGGACTCTGCTCTGTTTGTTCTGCTTACTGAAGAGTCTGAGGCTGTTACCCCATCCCCATTCCTGGTATCTTTTCTCATGCACAGAGCGACCTCTGGATGGCGTTGGGAGGAGCCCAGGTGGGAGTTGCTGGCCACAGCAGAGCTTACCTGCAGAGCATGGTGAGGCACTCGCTGTTGTCCCTGCACGAGGCCCCGATGGGTCTCAGGGACACTCCTCTCCAGAAGGGCGTCATGCGCCGCTGCCGGGCGCTGCGGGGCTGGGGCTGGGGCTGCCTGGGGGACAGGGACACGCCGTGGCTCTGGAACACAGCACAGTGACCGTCAGCACACGTGGCAGCTGCAGCGCTCCCTGCTCTGCTGCTGAGCTCAGCAGTCTTCATTCTAAGTGAGGCTTAACTTGAAATCGCTCTGCTTTGCAGATTGCGAAGCATGGCTTGCAGCCCGACCCCAAAGAAATATCTACCCAAATTAGGGATGGTTTCATCTTCTTGGGAGTGAAGGCAGAATCGCTGGCTGAGCTATGGCTCAGAGTAGCCCAGTATTCACTAGGCTGTAGCTACATTTTTATGATGCTGAATCCTGTAAAAAGCCCTGCTGTCACATCTTAACTCCTGCCAGTTGTCCATCCAAATCATAACAGCTTTTACGGACTGCCTGTCCTTTGAATTAGCCCTTTAAATAGTTTATTTCAGTATGGTCTCAGTTACCTGGCTGAGCAGCAGTGAGCAGAGCAGAAGGGCTGCCATCACTTTCCACCAGTGCATCTTCCCAGCAGGAGCTGTCACTTGGAGCAGCCGTGGGCAGAGGAGGCACAAAGAGCTCCAGTCAGGACTTCCCAGACTGTCAGCTACATTTTTATAGACTTCATTCTCTTATCGTTGCATCAGCTGCCAGATATTACAGGAGCAAAGTTCGCTTTGGAGCAAGAGGGAATTGCTAAGTCTACATCTGCTGCAGTGATCTGGTTCAAGGCCTGTCTCGAGCTAATGATTTACTCCCCTCCCACTTGTACTTTGTCTGGTCAGTTGTGCTGACCCCTTGTGCCAGCTGTTCCTTTTTTTAAAGCCCTCCTAAGATGTTACCAGAACTCCATGGTCTATTTGTAAGCAAAGGGGGGCTGGCCCAAATTATTGTGGTCAAGATCAAAAGCCTAATTTAACTTCTGTAGCTCTGAGTTAGCCAACCAGGGGAAAGGGTTGTATTACCAAGCTGATTTGGAGCAGAGAATTGTGCTTTTGATTTGTTTCTCGCTCTTGGTACATGAAAGAACCATAAGGAAGTTGCTTAACCTTTATTTCCAGGCACACAGTGCTCAAAAAGCAGGTGTAACATTTTCCAGCTGGGTTTGGGAAAACGTGTGATAACTCACAGAGCTCTTCCCCCAGGAATCCCAAGGTGTCAAAGATAATCATCTCTAGGTAAATAATGCAAGAGGCTGGTCTGGAGCTGAGGAGCTCCATGTGCGGCCTGTGGTTTCATGGATGAGCCATCTCTGCCCAGCTGTGTCACTCACCATCAGGCTTCCAGAAGTGCCAGCAGCTCCCATGGGGGTAGAGGGGCTCATTGAGAGGAAAATTCAGTTTTTCCATTGTGGGGTGAGATTGCAGCAGCAGAGAGAGGTGTGAGCACAGCTGGTGCCTCTCATCTCCTCTCCCTACACACCTGTGCCTGTCCCAGCGTCTCGTGGCTCCTCACCTGTGGGCTCTTGTGGATCTCGTTGGATGGGGCTTGGAGCAGCCTGGGCTAGTGAAGGTGGGGGGACTGCAGGAGCTTTAAGGGCCTTTCCAACCCAAACCACGCTGTGGTTCTGCTGGCACCCACCTCTGTCCGGTCAAGACATGAGATTGCAGAGTGATAGAGAGAATTCCAACCTGTGTCACTGTGTGCAGGTTTTGGAACACACTGTTTGAATTCAAGTAAATACAAAGTAATAAATGTATAATGAACTGTTTTAGCTAAATTGCAAATACAGATCTGGATGTCATAGGCTCTATTTCTCTGATTGCTTAACATAAAGGCACAAGTGCCAGCGTGGAGAGCAAGTGACTTGGATTAAGATAATGCTGCGATGTCAGATGATTACCCCTTAGCCCAAATTTCCCTGGGATGAAAAGAAAAACCTTCCCAGCACAGTGTACAACACTATTCAATCATTCCCATCATAGGATGGTTCTTACACACCTTCCTCTGCCCTACTTGTTCTGCTTTTCTGGGAGGAGGAAGCAAAATTTTCATTATTTCACCTTCTTGGATCTTAAGGGAAGGAAATGGGACAGTAAATCATGTCAGACAAGTAGCTGAACTTAAGAAGTTTATTTTATATTTGAGTGGGAACTTCTCAGTTGTTTTTCCCATGGAGTCCTTCCTTTTCCTGTAACTTGAGTTCTAATTCCTGCTGTTTCCATCAGGCACTAGTGCAGAACACAAAGGAGGACAAGCTGCATGAGCAGGAGCCCTGACTACTTCCATGAAACAGGATTTGGAATAGCAGAAGAGCCCTCTGTAAGTCATTGTCTCTCAGCTTTTCTGGCTGGGGAAGGCTGGTACTTTGTGATGATAAATCAGAATTGTTGTCTGTCCCTCTGGGTCACTAATAGCATCAGACTGTCCCTGTCAGGCAGCAAACTGCTCTGAGCAAGAAACTGGGGAAAAAAAGTATAACTGAGCTGGTCCTTTCCATGCCCTCAATTCCCACAGGCCAGTAAGACCCCACAGTAGAGATGTGAGAAAATAAACACAAAATGTTGCTCTGTTGCCACTTCTAATAATTGCCCAAAGGAGAACAGAAATAAATGAGTGAAAACTTCTCAAGCCCCTTGTTCAGATTCTGAAACGCCCATGGGTTGAACTCCCACTGCCACAGGGCTGGCCGGAGCCATCCCAGCTGGGAATGGGGTCTGCATCTGAGGTGGAGGTTGGCAGGGCAGGATTAGGATGGGTGGGCAGGGTTGGC